TATATATATGTATATATACATATATATACATATATATATATGTATATACACATCTTCCTCACTCATCGCAGGTGGTCTTCCCCTCTTTTTCCTTGTGACTGCAACATCAGGAAAAACAAAAAATACCAGGGGCTCAGGGAAACCAGCTATATATATATATATATATATATACACCTACATATTTATGAACAGATCTTCCTTTCATCAAACACGATCATGTGTCACTGCTAATTTGATGTAGATTTGTTTTTATTCTGTGTGAACCATGCACATATATATTTGAAGAATATACAAATAATAATTTTAAATTCCTCAAAAACTTCTTATTCTACTTAGGTTCTATTTTAAAGACCCAATTATTTAATCTAGGATTCTAGGAGATCAGGGGCTCAGTCCTGAAGGTGAAGATGAGAGAGTAGACTTTCTGGTAAATCCTGTTCTAAAGTAAAATCTGACAGATTACTGGATTACAGAAATTTCTAGTATGCTACATGCTATCACACATGCGTTTATTCCTCTCTTTATCAACAACAAACTCTGTGGATTTGGGGATGTTTAATCAGTATTTGCCAAAGTTATGAGGGGGGAATCAAATATTTTAGCCATCTGATATGATCCGTTCCCCCATAACAAGGGAAAAAAATAAACAAATCCTGTGAATTTTAAAACTGTCATTATTTTTCTATATTATGTTTGAAACATTTATTATTTTATATTTTGAAATCCAAAATAGTTAAAATAAATCTGACTGTTGGTTTGATGATCTTTCAATTCTCAATTCAAAATGTCTGCAGTAGCATTGCACCAGACATTTGGTTTGAACTTTTTTGGGAATATTTGTAAATTGTTAGATAAACATTTGAATAGAAAATACATTTCATAAAGATCATCAAAGGGGGGCCAATTATATCAGGTGGCTAAAATATATGATTCCCCTCTCACTTCTCTGGCAAATAATGATTAAATGTCACCAAATCCACAGAGTTTGTTGTTGATGAAGAGAGGAATAAACACAGTTAAAGACTTGCAGGTGAATTAATTAATTTTTCCCATGTTATGGAAGGGGAACGGATTATTTCAGGCAGGTGAAATATTCATTCACTCCTCCTCCCATATCTTTGGGAAATAAAGAGCAACTGTTGGCAAATTCTCAAAAATCATTATGTGTGATATCATATCGTATATTAGGAATGTCCTTAATCCAGTAATTTTAGACTTGGACAGATTTATTGTCATTTTGTTTACAGTTTAAAACAAAAAGAAATTTGCTTTAGAACAGCTTTCTGGACAATTTCATTTTTTTTAAAGTGCAGCATTGCAAAATAGTAAAAAAAAATATATAAAAACAGTAATATAAACATATGACTGTAAATTTACAGTTCTAACAAGTAATCTATAACATTTGACATTTACTTGAAATTCTACACTCATCTTTTCAGTAAGTCTTAGTTTTTATGTCCTGCTATCAGTCAGTTTCTATCCTCTTATATCACCAATGAAAAATGATAAATACTCACTATTAGTTGGAAAACTGTGTTTGATGACCGACTTTTATTTCTGTCAGGCTGAAGGGACAAAAGTTGGAAAAAGACAGATTCTCTTGGCGTTTAAAATAACAATACAAAACAGCTTAAAAAAGACCTCGTTTATTTATCTATTTTACAATTTTGTAAAGAACAGCTGCTGATTAAACTGGATGTTAAACTGTGACATGATTATAGGAGTTGTTTTTAGGGAGAAATCAATCAGCAGCGCAGTGAAAATGGTCCCATCCTCCATGTCCGCCTCTCTGGCTTTAATGCGCGGCTCCGACACAAAGGAACAGAATTCCATACAACCCCGGGGCAAAGAATGCCTGGTCGGTCAGTCAGAGCTTCACATCCGGGGCTGTAGCCCCAGTAGCCGCCCCCTAGATCCGCCACTGTTTAATCCATATCTAACTCTCATCACATTTAATCTTATTGATAATTATTCTCTCTACATTAAAGAACACCATACTGATTAGTTCTTTTATTTTACATGTTTTCCTCATTCCATAGCATACTTTCACAATGGCATTCCTTGTAAAACGTTATTTTCTGGACCCACTTTGATAAAGTATAGATAATCATTTTTGCTCAGGGCTTTTAATAGGGCTTCTAACTAATATCCTCTTTATCCACTTGCTTTAATAGAATGGTAAGGCGAAGGGAATGGAACTCAAAACTGCACTGTTACATCCCAAAATTAAGGTGCCTGTATTTGTTAAATTTAGCATATAAGATTTTTTTAAGAGGTTTAGGTGAAGTAACCAAATTTTACAGAGAATTGGTGCTTTTGTTTGCACAACTCTGGGAGGAAAAAAGAGGAGGAATGGAAGCTAAATCAGTTCCAGGGTCACAGCGCTGAGATCAAGATGCAGATTTTGAAACAGATTTCCAGCATTTTTTTAAATCCCCAGCCTAAAGAGTGAGAAGCACTATTTGCAGCAATGAAAAGCCAGAGAAGATGGATGGATCAAGTACATTTCTAGATGACTATTTAAGTAGTCGATTATTTTGAATCTGATATTTATTTGAACAAAATAGAAATTCTCACCTCTTTAACGTCTTCCTTCTATTTAGGCACAGACTTTATATTATTATTTTATGTCAGCTTCTATATTTTTTCTTCTTTTTATCTACCCTGGATAAAATTGTGCTACAAGAGGCATGCCATTAACCTTTTAAGAATGAATACGTTGATCTTCTAATAATTGTATGATTGTTATGGAAATTATTATTAATTTCCTCAACTATTCAGATTGTGGGTCAGCAGATCAGTTCTCTCTGTTGCCAGCTCACAGATTAAAACCTTTTTTAACAATTGTTCACAGAAAAATAGCAGTAGGCACAGCGCACAAGTTTTTTATCCTGTATTTAATAACATCATAACACCATAATACAAGAAAGCATTTCTCTGGGCCAGTCTCTGCACGATCGCCATCTAGTGGAGCAGAAAAGTATCATAGAAAAAATTTAAGCCAGGGAAAATCTGCAAACTGGAGCAGAAAATTCTGCATTGCTAACCCAGCCCAGATTTCCACTCTCCTTAGATCTCTAGATCTCCTCTTAAATGAAAGTGATCCCTAAATGGTGGTAGGGGACAGAATAAAGAAGAGAGAAGAAGTGTGACGGATAATGATGTATGAGAACCACTGACCCTTTTATTTCGATACTATTTTCATGTGTATAATTTGAGGCCGACTCCTGCCTCCTTTACACTCCTTTTGAAACTTTACCTAAAATAAATGGATTATGCTTGAAAATCATCTTGCATTGATGTTTAAATTCATGCAAAAATTGGCCCAAACTGGAACTTAATGTGAATAGAAGTGAATATATATCTTAAGGTGATGATAGTTCTGTTTATAATATAATTTTCTTTACTTTATGTCATATTTAAATGAGACACATTACACTCTGCATGTGATAAACCTATACAACTTGAGTTTCTCTTTCTGAAATGAATAATGGCTATTTTCACGATATTCTTATCTTTTTTTATTTGTACCTCTATGTCACACAGGAACTCTACTCCACACGTTGTGTTGTAGACACACACTTTTTAAAAGGGATGAGTCGTAAACTGAGTTGAAGAAAGGTTGGAACACATCCCAGTTATAAAACTGCAGTAGAAAAGATTTTTTTTTTTTTAAGTCTCACTGACACATACTGACATGACCAAACATTAAAAAAAAACCCACATGGGAGCGGCCATTGTAAGGCCTTATTTTGCAATATTTGTTTTAAAACCCATCTTTACAAAACAATATATACCGGTACTTAAAGTTTGAAAATTCCCACATATATTAAACATTGTCTAGGTCTAAGAATGTTTATTTCTCACACTAAAAATCAAGCTGTACTGACTTATTTATCTTTTTATAAGTTTTAGAACCTGAAAGGAGATTAAGTCAACCTCTTATAAACACATTCCTACTGGCGACAGCAGCTTAGTCACCAGGACCAGACCATCAGGTTTGACTCGTCTCCTGTTAGTTAAAAAGAGGAGCGCAGAAAAGGTGTGACTTTAGTCCCTTCATGCAGTTGGGAAAATTCACTTTGTCCTTAGAGAGTTCCATGCAAAGAAAAAGAGCAGTTCTGTTGATATCAGCAATAGCCTCAAACACTAATTCTTCCACTGGGTTCATCAAGATGAAACTTTATGTCAATATACCAACCTCTGGTTTGCATTTGAATCCAAATGATATCCAAGTCAATCGGGCCTCTAAATCAGACCTTTTTCCAGTGAGAGTATCTTTAAAAAGTTCCAATAAATATCTCTACAATAAAGACTAATAGAGTCTATGATATAAAATGTTATTCCCAAATTGTCTAAACCCAATGTAGATGTTAGTTTAGAGTATTTTTTTCTATCTATAAGTTATGTAATGTACTAACAGGGTGTAACTGAAATATTTCTTTCTGGTTCTAGTTCGATTTTATCAAAGAAAAGCATTTAAAAAATCTTCATACCTTATAAATCAATAACTAAACATCTGGATGACGGGATTTCTGGATGTTTCCGTTGGTGCTTCAATGATCAGCGTAACATTTTCTGTGGTAGAAAAGCCTCCTTGTCGACACCATTATTATTTTTGATCAGGACCTGTCATTTAAATCCCATATCAAAGAGGTTTCTAGAATTTCCTTCTTTCATCTGAGGAACATTGCAAAAATTAGAAATCTCCTGTCCAGGGGTGATGCTGAGAAACTAGTCCATGCATTTGTTACTGCAAGGCTGGACTATTGTAATTCTTTACTATCAGGAAGTCCACAAACTGTAGTTAAAAGCCTTCAGCTGATCCAAAATGCTGCAGCCAGAGTTCTGATGAAAATTAAAAAGAGAGATCATATCTCTCCTATCCTGGCTTCTCTTCATTGGCTTCCTGTTAAATCCAGAATAGAATTTAAAATCCTCCTTCTCACATATAAAGCCTTAAATGGCCAAGCTCCATCTGATATCAGAGATCTGATTGTTCCTTATGTTCCTAACAGAGCACTTCACTCTCAATCTGCAGGTTTACTAGTGGTTCCTAGAATTTTCTAAAAGTAGAATGGGAGGTAGATCTTTTAGTTATCAGGCTCCTCTCCTGTGGAACCAACTACCAGTTTTAGTCCGTGAGGCAGACACCCTGTCTACTTTTAAGGCTAGGCTTAAAACTTTCCTTTTTGATAAAGCTTCTAGTTAGAGTGGCTCAGGTTATCCTGAGCTATCTCTATAGTTATGCTGCTATAGGCTTAGACTTCTGGAGGACATAGGGACCCCCATTTTATCATTCTGCTTCATTCTCTCTCTGTTCTCCTATTCTGCAGAATCTGTTAGTTCAATCTCTAACCTTCTGCTCTCTCTGCTTTTCCTCAGAGTAGCTTTGCCTCGTCTGTTCCTGTTTGGCTGTGACGTCATCCTGGAGAGAAACATCAGCTGTGCTGCTTCCATCAACACCCTTGTTTATAGATGCTGGAGATCGGCCTGTTTTCCAGTGTGGTCCTGTTTCTCTGACCGTGACTGACTGGATGTGCTCTCTCTCTCATGGGAGCTGCCTTGGAGCTCGTCTGCCTGGCTGTGTGTTTCCTGGACGGGGCCGCCTTTTACAGCTGCTTTTTGTATCTCTGCTTCTGTCTCCTTGAACCACAGTCGGCCTCAGCAGATGGCCGCTCACACTGAGCCTGGTTCTGCTGGAGGTTTCTTCCTGTTAAAAGGGAGTTTTTCCTCTTCACTGTCGCTACAAGCATGCTTAGTGTGAGGGATTGTATTTGAGTCAATGAGTCAATGCAATCAACTGGTTTTCCTTAGATAGAAAACTTTGTATCAATTTGACTGTATGATCTGGTTGAACTGTAAAGTGCCTTGAGATGACATGTGTTGTGAATTGGCACTATAGAAATAAACTGAATTGAATTGAATTACCTCCCTGTTGCTACAGATTTCAGTCTGGACTTGGGCTGGACCCTGCATCCTTTAAATTACTTTCAGTCCACTCACTTTAAGTTACAATAAGTAGAAATGCAAATTTAAACCTGCTAAAGATGTAAATATTTTTAGCATAACTGTGTGATTTATTAAACAATAGAATTACTGGAAAAATATGATAAACTGAAAGAAAAGTGAGGGTCAGTATTCAAAAGGAACTGTATTTCACAAAAATAACACAAACATAAAACTTTTTTGTGTTGTAATTTATTAAAACAAATACAAAACACTTTAATTCCCAAAAAAACTTGTCTGATACTTTTTTGCACTGCTGCTGTAGAACTGGATGGAGATCATGAGTTCGTCGGCAGAATAATATCTGGACCTCTGTTGTTTATCTGTTAAAATGTCTTTGTGTAGATCCAGTTTTCTTCCTGCAAGGTCCTTTTTTGACCACTCAATATTTTCATACAGGCTACAGAAACTCAATCAAATAAATGAAACCAGATCAGTCATTAAAGATAAAACCACTTTAAAAGTCATTTTGTAAAGAGGGAAAACAAATCTCTTAGTTAAGCTGAGACTAAATCCTAGAAGTAGGCTACTTATTCTAAAAATTATAAAAAGAAATTATTTTACTAAAACCAGTCTCTCCTACTGTAAACCCCACCTGTTATCTTCTCATGTGAAAATCAAATAAACATTTTTGAATAACTGAGAAATGAGAAGCTTCATCTAAGGTTAAATAACTTGGATCAGCATCATTGCAGTACTTTTCCAGTGGGAGTTTCTTAACTGCTTACTTTCTAACTCAACATTATTTTCCATAGTGTTGGTGTCCTACATTTATTTTAATATCAAGATTACATTTAGGATTTTAGGAGTAATAAACACCAAAGCATTTGGTACATAATGTTTTAATTTAAAGTTAAACTAAAACACATCAAAGCAAAAATAACCTCAGATGCTAATTTAAATATTCTCTTAGTATTTACCTGAAAATAATGATAGTACAGCCACCCATATATACAGCTGCATTATAAAGCATTAACCTTCCTAATGATGTAACTTGAAATGTCTACTGAAGCATTTTCTCTGACATCACTCGTTAAAAACTGGCTGTTGAGTCGCTGCCACCCCACCCATCCTGTTACCCCACCAAACCTGTGAAACCAGAAACCACTGAAGAGAAATGTCCTTCCAAGTTATTTTCCATTAATGTTTTTCTTCTCTTTTTCAAACGTACTTAGACAGCCTTGTCCAATGATAATTCATTAGGAATGATTATAACAGAAATAATACATTTAAAATGTGATGAACACAAAGCGGTTAGACAGTCATTAAATATCTTTACATCTAACCAAGTTACATAAGAAAGTTTATTCAGTTCACATTTAAATCACGTCTCAACACTGTGGTGAAAATTCCTACATCCTAGTAGCTGAGAAAGACCCCTCATCTTTTCAGAGGAGTTCTTTCAAGTAGTTTCATTCTCATACATTTGGGGATAGATCGTAATATTTCTCTCTTTCTACTCTCCATTGCTTAGTTTTGAACCTAGGTTTTCAGTTAGCTTAATTTATCAAGACTATGAAGAACAACTGGTGCTATTAAGAGCTAACCGAAAATAGTTTGTGTCATAGTTTAAATGCAGGCTTTTCTTTTTGCTTTAGGGAAGGTCACAGAATCTCTCGCTAATCTCCCACAGCTTTCTTGCAGCAGCGTCATCTCTGGCTTTAGCAAAGAGGTTCCTAACAGTGCAGTTAGAGAAGTATCGTCCACTGAGAGGTTCAATGCCTTCCTGTAGGGCACAGTGGAGGGTGGTCTGGCATCCCTGGACAGTGTTCTTGAAGAAGAACGTGGTGATGGGTTTAAGGACGACTTGTAGAAATAAACTTGTGTTCCTACCCAGCTCTGAACTTATGGCCCCTGTGAAAAAAAAGGAATTATATTTGGTTAACTGGTCTTTAGCTGGTATGGGACAAATGACGCAGTTATATGATGACGTATGGCATCTGCTATTTGATTGTCCTGGAGGTTGTTACACCCAGTTTGCAGCCTTTTATACTATTGCAGCAGATGGGTGAATCCTGCATTGAAATCTTATGGTTATTTGAACCATTTACTCCTCATAATTATACAAACTGGCTAGGGCCGTACTTGACTAAACCCATCATTTCTACTATTTAATATTAAATCAGAATGTTTGGTTCAAAATCAGGGAATGCATCAAGTTTCAGTAGGAGCTATTCATATCTTGTTTCAAATTGACAGAAAAATATGATACGAAGAAATTCAGTTAAAATCTACGGAAGACCAGTAGAGTCACTGAAAAAGAAAAGCAGCCCATGCAAAATCTAACATTTAAATAATATAATTGGAAATCCAATATAAAAAGTGTTTCGCAAGTGCACATTTTTTATTTAATTCTTAAAAAGGAATTGTAAATTGCATTTATCAATCCATCTTGGAGACCAAGTATTGCAGTTTAACCAATGAGGGACTTGGTTATATCTGAGGAACAACTGTGATTGGTTTAACAGGTTTTCAGTGTGCTCAGGATCCAGAAGGGTCACAGAAAAGGTAAATGGTGGGCTTAAAGTATAAAAAAAAATGTAACAACAAAAAGGATTGATAATAAAAAGGAAAAAAGAAAATAGAAATGGAATAAGGAAT